GCAGACATCCACTAGTGGATGTATGCGGATCTCTCTCTCATTTTGGCCGTTGGTATGTTTCATCTTGTACTACCCTTTGTTTAAATATAAGTGTATAAAAATCATATAAGTGAACTGCGGATAAAGAAGTGGATATAAAACCGTTCGATTAGTTACCAACTTATGTGGTCTATCCCAGTATTTTATAGGTCGCTGAGGTTAAATGACCGGCGCCTGGCCAGGCACGCTCTTCAATGGAATACACACTCGGACGTAAGTAATTTTCAAAAAGAAACACTCACCTGAAAGGCTTTTTTTAACAATCTTGAGAGTATTTAATGTTTGCCTAGTAAAGTAGAACAATTCCAAGGTTCCGGTTGATCTTTAAGTTGACGTTCGAATTTAGCGAACGCTCAAGGCATTCATAGAATGTCGGTGTGTTTTCGAAACTTTTTACAAATTTTGGCTCAATCCGGCATTTGGAGGTATTGGCCGATTTCCACAAAACACCTTATGGAAACCAAGCGTTAGCCGAGCGTCAGCCCTTCGTCCATCGCTCTGACGAAAAGCTAACGCTCGAAACGCCAGCCTTTAAACTCTTTACGGTCGTCAATTTACGTGTTCAACTCGGTTGTTAACACCAAATTACCTGTTATACTCTTTCACCGACGCAGCACCACAGTTTCTTTAGAAACTTACTCCCTTTATTTATTCGTGATTTTTTTTCCTTTCTAAAATGTTCAGAAAAATGCACGTGCCGTGATTGGTAAGAACGAGTTTATTATATTTCCATTAAGGACGCGCCTTACGTCACATGAGTGCACTGTTGAGATATAATGCACGCACCCTACGTTATCGGTACGAGCGCGCGCAATTCACGATACATTTTATAAAAGAAATAAAAAACTAGTTGCTCAAGCATTGTTGAGTTATATAAGCACTTGGGAATTTGGGAGTACTCGTCAAGAACACTTGACGAGTACTCCGCACTTCTTTTTTCTCTTAAGAATTCCTGCGTATTTACACAACTCAACAATGCATTCGGCGCCTTTTTTTCATTTCTTTATTAAAAATGACGAAATAATTGAAAAAATAAACACGCAAGATCGGAAGTCAATGCAGCAAAAAGGCAAAATAAACCCATGACATTTTCATTCCTTCACGACCGGAACTGAATGAAAATCCAACGCCAGCAGTCTACACTGCCGGATCTGAAAATTTACACGAAATTTAACATAGAAGAAACTTTCTCGGTACGAGCAAAAATACTTCACCCTTCCTACTCACGTCTCCGTTTTGAGAATACAGGAGACCATATTGATAACATATTGAACACAATTCGTAATGTTAAAAACACCAGTGAAAAAATTAAGTGTAACGAAAAAATTAAAATGTTATTCACCAGCCTAGGTCGCGGTCCGTATCGGGAACAACTCTGCTCTCTTTCTTGAGTACCGTTTTTCCTACTTTCACTCAATTTTTCCACTTGATCGAAGTGGAAAAATTGAGTAAATATCCTCAAAGCTGTCTTTTCCCGTCAAGTAATGCCGGCACAGATCAGGCTACAAACCATTGTTTTTCATCCTTAACCATTCATTCTCTCTATGATTAATCTGTTGCATCCTCTGGAAGACCATCCCCCATAAAATTTTAATAGACTCATTTTAATAGACCTCTTAGAAAAATACTGAAGAATTTAAAAACGTTTTCAGCTGTGGAGATCAACATGAAAATTCTATCTTTTCTCGCTTTCTTGGGTCAATATGGAAAGGTACACTTGTCTTCCATAGTATACCGTTGACGCTGAATCTGCGTAACAATAAAAATTAAGATTCCTTTCTTCAAACGACATTGTTTTGTAACTTGTTGTTTTCTTGTGCAATACAGAAAAGCGCAAGCTCGTGTATTTATCCTTGTCTTGTCCGGCGCAGTTTTCGAGAATTTCCTTGCAAATTTTTAGGTCATACAGTATCTCGCTTACCACGACAAATCTTGCGACCAAAAGATATTCCGCAGAACAGGCAAACCAGGCTCGTTCAGCAAAGTTTGAAAAAACAGGAATTGTGATGTCCTTTCTCAATATTGTCAGTCGTTTTACGTATGAAAAATACGCCTATATAAGGTAATGTTTAAAAATAGAGATTATAACATAGAGCGCGTGCTTGGCCTATATAAGTCTTATTGAGCCCTTATGAACAAAATCTTTATTTACGCACGCCCGTGCGTAAATAAGATGACGTGAGCACTTTTTTTTATCTGGCTTCAGAGTTTCCGTCCTGTTAAGCTGCAGGGCAGTTTTCCTTCCCTTTTAAATATGGAAGAAACCAGCAAAGAACTGCCCAATATTTTTTATCGGCATTGACCTTTTAAAAGAAAAAAACTTGCAAGTTGCACGTTTCGCAAATTTGTCAGAAGACCAGCTGCAGCAAATTTTGGGCGAAAAACATTCACTGGGAACAAAAAAGTCACCAATTGGTCATTAACAACATTTATTTCCTTATTTATTGTTGCCAATAGGGACGTTTCTCTGCTTTATTTTGCGTTGTGAGAATTTTGCACTTTATCACAATAAAAGGCTTCTTCTTGCGGTGCTTGTTGTCGCTCTGTTATAAAAGAATTTGCTCATGCTTTTAGCTGTGCGTACATCGAGTTCTGGATGCACTTGGGAAGTTTGGAGAGCACTCAAAAAGCTAGAGTTGCTCTCGGCTGCGCCTCAAGCTACTCTTACTCATTTTTCGTACTCTCCAAACTTCCCGCGTGCATCTATGACTCGATATACGCACGCTAAGCATGAACAAATTCTTTATTATTTGATAGACCATTTTCGATGAATGAAAATTTTAACTTACGATATACGATATGTTTCTAATACTTCCATGTGATCTAAATAACAAAAAGGTACATAATCGTGGCACCCATAGACATGACACCGGATGCACCTACTAAAACCATGTATTGACTAATCACATTAGGAATAATGGATTACATATCAAATACGCTTAACGACTGAGACTGTCCAAAATATATTTTGTGTTCATCTCAAAAGTTTAAAATTGATAAGGAAGTCCAGTATGTATTGACGTCACACACTTCCGCTGTGAAAGATATAGTTACAAATTGTCTGATCTACTAGACTAGTTTTACAAACACGCTGACTTAGATCATTCTTTCATCATAAAAATGCAGAAGAAACATTCCACAACATTCACAAATATGTCTTGATGCCTTTACAAAAATGAATGAATTTGTAAAAGAAAAATAAAGCTCCGGCTCGCTTAGGAAGTCTCTGCTTTCAAACTACAATGGCTATATCGTGTAAGATTTCCCTCATGATATTTACATTTTAGAAGACACTAGAAAAACAATAACAAAAACTCATGAAATTGGCTATCAGAGTTGAACAAGAGATTATAAACTGTCTCTAATCTGTTACGTTTGATTTAAATCGTTCCTACCATATTTTAGATTTTTAATTCTGCTTCATTCTAGGTTTTCTATAATTTGCCTTTCCAAAACTTTATTAATTATTTTTTTGTTTGTTTGTTGTTGTTTTTTTTAGGTAAAAATAGCTTTTGTGGTCACGATATCAGTTTGGGAAATGGGTTGTTTTATGCCCTTTTTTATGGTAAATATACATGAGCAAATACTGGCAGCTATTTATGAAAATACTTCAATGACAATGACGTGCAATATTTTTCAGTGTGCTAGTGCCTCCAAACCCATATCATTATATACCGAAACCAGGAATATATTTATGCGAACCTCCCAAACGCATCGCTATGAGTTTGACGGCCAAACGGGCGACACAGGAACAAACAGATTTGAGCTAAAGATTTACGATTTTTTTGGAAACAAACAAACAGAAAGCATGATCGAACAAAAGTTAAAATACGAAGGAAATGACATACTACAATAAGCCGAGAATAAATGCAAATAATATACAGCGGGGAGGGAAAAGACATGATTTACAACATTAAATATGCGAAACGCTGTATTGAATAAAACGTGAATCTAATACAAAAGCGATTTAAACCTAAACAGGAAATTGCGTGACAGAACTAACACAACAGGAAATTGTGTGGCAAAATCAGATTGGTGAAGATTGTATGAGATGAAAATCAACGAGGTCAAGTTAGATGTAGTCTGCTTCGCAGCCGTTTATTGGTTTGGTCACGGAAACTTTTTTTGCCCCACGAATCGCAGAGACCATTACAAGAAACAATTACGACATAAGGTAGCAAAAAAATAGTAAATTTGACCGATAAAAGAGCAAAATGACAAACAGACACGTTAACATGCTGAGTCAGGCTTAAAGTTTCAAAATGAAGGAATAATCTTAAATAAGAAAAAAAAAGCTAAATACGGCTCGTTCAGCTATATACAATTAGACTAATAGAAATGAATGCCAAAAACTAAAAGAGAACGATGCAATAGCGAAGTGACTTAAATTTGGATAAAAAGTACAGAAAATTAATAAGTAATTATAGAGCTAGACACTGACAAGAACAGACAAGTACTGGCTTGGCAAGTTGTAATACTTTCGCTCAGCAAACCAGCTAAATCAACTAAATGACAAGCAAAACGTAGCCAATTCATAGGACATTTAAGGAAATGATAAAAATAATTCTAGCCAAAAAAGGGAAAGGCGTCAAAACTGCTTATGTACGACAACAGGATTTACCTAAGGGAAATCAGCCGGTGTAAATACTGTACCACCTACATTACAGGATTTTGGTACTAGAGGTATACTCGGGAACAGTACAACTATACAAAACAAAGAAAGTGTTGAGGGAAAGTGAGGAGTTTAGCAAGATATCTAGATTCATTTGCCACCAAAAGAAAAGCAAGTAAAAAGTAGTAAAGAACAAAGCGTAAAAACAAAAGAACAATACAAATTCGTGACCGAGTCACATTTGTACTTGACCAAAAAAGGGTTTAACGGAAATGATCCTCAGCTTTGCCGGCGTCACCCAGATAAAAGCGACGATGAAAAAAAAACTAGAGAAACGGTTTAAGTAAAAGGATCTAAGTTACGCTGGAATAATTCATTCGTTTTCGAAGGAGAAGCAAAGATGCAGATCACCGAGCGTTTCACTATGTTTTTCGTCGTGGCTGTGGGTAAGTTCTTCTTTTCACTTTCATTTCAGGTAGGCTACCTGAAATGAAATCATTACGTTTTTAAAATCAACTTCGTCAACTTGGTCAAAGACTTTTTTTGATAATCAGTTATAAAATACCCACTGGAGGCGATTTATTTTAATCTAGTTTCAGAAGTTTCGCCTTATTATTTTCTTTTCAACTTCTGCTACGCGTTGTTTGAAGAAAGGATGTTGCGATCTTTAGCTGTTACTCAGATACAGTGATGTCAACTGTATTGAGCAGAAGGGAGGTGATGCCTTTGAATATTGACCCCAGAAAGAGAGAACGAAGTCAATTCTCATGCTGATCTCTATTGCTAAGAAAGTTCCAAATTCTTTAATATAATTCGAGGAGATTTCAAATTGTATAATTTCTTAATATAAGTAAATCAGTGCTCTGTTGAACTACCCAACTGATGGCAAAGTGAAATACTTTAGGTTTGAGGTTGCCACACGTCCTGTAGCAGTATATACTGTTACTGACGCAGAAAAAAAGAGAAAATTCTACTGTAACGGATCTCGAAAGAAGAAAAAAGTTCATTCATGCAATCAATGTGGAAAGCTTGTTTGAGGGATTTAATTGGAATAGCATTTTCACTCCTGAAATGAGATACATGAAGTGAACTTTTGTCTCTACCCTGTGTCTTTCGTTGTTACGAAGATGCTTTTCTTCTCTGCATGATAAGAGTACATTGTCTCAGTGTCTTAGCCAATATATTGTATCCTAACAATTTTCTCGATAAAAACGTATCTTGAGAAATGGAATTTCTTCCCAGAGGTGGTGAAGCGTTTTGGAACTTGACGGAAGAAAGGAGAAAGATGGTGGAGGTCCTATCATACAACCAGCCAAATGCGTTCTTCTATTCAAACTTCGCGAAATAATTACTGCGCAGCTTTTGGCGCACGTAAAACTTTAAACCTTAACATATTCGAATTTCCAGAAGAATAGTAACAACGACCCTGATGAAACAAACTCGCGAGAAGATCACAACAGGATGCTAATAAAGCGATCAGTGAAAGAACATGACTCTAAATTTTTGATTCAACCAAGTTGCATTAGCCTTACTTTCTATTCCGAAAGCAAAACGTGCGTAATTGTGTGAATGGGAGGAGGCTTCCTTCTTCCTTCTTCTTTTGGTTGGGGGGTTGGGGAACCCCCCGCTCTGGCCTTTAAAAGGTTTGCGTGATAAATAATCTAAGTTATATTTTCAATATACCCTTTCTTTTCGTGAAAATCACATGTAGTGTATGATTAACTGATTTATTGATTCCATTTATCGTTTCTCTAGCGTTTCTCGTTGGAAAACACGCAGCCCTACCAAACATTGGTAAATGTTCTTTCATAGAATCCGCTTGCGCTTCTCGCAAATGCACCACATCTTTCTATAAAGGACTTCAAAAGGACCCCAAAGGAGACTGCCTGTAAGTTAATTTAATTAGCTCTAAACTTTGAGGTGTTTTGTGCGGCGACTGCGATTCAAACGCAATACTTTATCTGTCAAGTGACCTGGTCTGGAGGGCTTCCGAAGGCTTTGAGTGGGAGCTGAGGGGGGAAGGGGGGAGGGGAGGGTGAGTCATATATTTACCTCAAAGTTGTGGCAACAGTCGTTCAGACAAAAGGATGTTATTAGAAAAAGCCAAACAGAAAAAGCCAATCAGAAAGCGGGAAAACACGAGTTACCCAGTTGCAATAGGCAACGGCATACCAGAGGAGTTTACAAGCATCGGCTGCGAATGAGATTAAGAGCGAATCGAACTAAACTAAACTCATAAACGGATTACCTTAGACCCTTACTTAAAAAATTGCTCTAACTTCATGAGTTTCTTGTTTTCATTCCAGTGTTAAATTTGACCAAGTAAAAGAATGTATGCAGAAATTGGCCAAGTACTGTTTGGGCACTCAGCCAGGCAGGAGCATGAAGATAAAAAGAGAATGTGCTGATGATCTCACTCTAAGACCGTTTTCATCTTTGGAAATTTTTAACTGTTCCAGCTCAGTCACCACTAAAGCGAAAGTCTGCATGGAAACCTTTCGACGCATATTTGCCGCGGACAAATCGAATTCCTCTCTTTGCTCGTGAGTTTATGCAAACCATTTCTATTGCAAACAGAAATCGAAAAAGATAATTAATTTGTGGCATGGCTGCGGAACAAGAAACAAATTAGACTCTTGTTACAAGCGTAAGGTGAAAAAAATCAATGATTACCGTGGTGAATGTAAACCTTAGATGTTTTTATTTCCGAGCTGCAGAGAAGATACGCACTTATTGGACCATTTATCAGCTAACAGGTTAATATTTAACAAGGCAACCTATAGGTATAAATAACATTAAATTCAGGACCAAGAATTACTTTTTTCGAAGACTGTTACATTGTTCAGGAGAATAATTAAGACATTCTTGTCATTTGTTTCTAAAATTGGCGTGCTTGAAAGCAAAAAAGGTTTAACTTTATCTATCTATCGTTCAGACATTATAAAGTTTTCCAAAAAACTTATAATAATCTCAGATTGTGATTTGTCTTTTTTTCCTCTCAAACCTTCTTCAAATTGAAAAAGGTTTGAAGGAAAAAAGAGAAAGATACGATCGCTTTTGTTTTTGTTCGAGTATAACAAAAACAAACAAAATATTATATTTGATAATCATTGCCGGTACGAAAACAAAATGAAAATTATAAGAACCAAGCAAACTGTTGCAATTGGTCGAAAATGACTGAATGGTTAAAAGAGTGGCGTTCACAGAGAGGAGTAAATCAACATGCAGCCTCGGAAAATTTCCGACACTCGTTAAATATTGTCCAATAGGGCAAAAAAAAAAATTCAAAAATAAAGAGACTAATAAACTTTTGATGACCTTCATTGTTTACAGGGAACACGCTAAGTCGAAGAGGTGTCTTAAGAATCTGATATATACTGAGTGTACCTTATCTCCTGAAATGCTGGAATTGACAGAATTGGCTTTGGCTGACCACAATCCTTTCTGCGCTGATAATCGGGACCCTGGGGCGACCGGAAATGACCAGTGCTACGGGGTGAAAGACATCAGTGGACCCGCCGGCATTAACACTGATAAACCCATTACCACCAATGCAGCTGCTGGCATCAAAACCAATGTTTTCCAGGCGTTTTTGTCTGTTTTCCCGACCATTTGGTTCTTTTTCAGCTTTTAAAGAGATTACTTTCGCAATCTTTGTTTTTAAACGTACGTTTTTAGGCAAATTTTAAAAGTTTTAGTATTGAGCGAGGAATTTGAGCTGCTAGCTTATCAAAAGTCTGAAATGTTTCCATATTGTTTGCCTTTTATTTCATTAACAAGCACTTTCTAATTGAAAAGATAATTTCCTAAATCGACAGTAATGAAAATTTGTATAAAATAATATTAAAAAGGGAACTTTTTTGCAGCAAACCAATAAAATATATTTGTTTCAGAAATGATCGTGTCAGATCGTGAAACTTATCGTTTCCGTAACTGGTCTTAATCGCCTTTTACAATGCTTACATGATAATTACATGATTTAGGGCGTTATATTTCCAATAATTTACTTTGCTTTCATGAAACTGACTTGTATCGAACGGTTGACTTTGCTGAGCTCGACCAATTGAAACAATGCGTGTTGAAGGTGGTCAGTCGAGGTGTTCTGTCGCTCTTTGAAATAATCGTAGCACGTTATAATACCTGTCGTATTTTGCAATACCTGTCCCACTTTGTAATAAAATCGTCGCAACTTTGTGATAAAAAAGCTGTCGCACTTTGTAAGTGTGAGCTGTTACTCTTTGTCATAAAAGAGTAACAGTGGTCATGTGAGCTGAGTCCTGGAGGTGAACTATGCCAAACATGGTCCACCTGATCGCCTTCAAAGCGACCGGGGATCGAAATTTGAAGGAAAGGTGAGATTCCCTTGCAAAAATATGGAAGATAAAATTAATTAAGTGAAGGCCTTGCCACCCGCAGCCTCGGGGAAACGTAGAGAGATCACATAAACGACTCAGAAAAAAGGTAATGTACGACCCAGTAACACTAGGAAGGAAAGGAATTAATTGGGCGGCAAATTTTGATAACTACAACTGGATTTTAAACGACGAAAGCAAGGAAGAGCGTGGATGGAGAACTCCTTTTGGAGATCTACTACGGGCGAAAAACTGGTGAAAGCGTCACTGGTTTAGACTCAGAAGGTGATGAGATTAAAACGAGAACTGGTCGCGTAAAGGAGGCACGTTAAGAACATAGGGCGAAAAGTTAATCTTCACAGCGCAAAACTTAACGATTGAATGGTAAGACGCCACAAGCGGCTTCACAAGGCTGAAATATTTAAACCCAAAGACAAAGTTCTTATCCGCCAATGACCGCGGAGAGGATGTAATCTCCCACAAAACAAGAGTTTTTTAGTGAAAGGCACCGCCGTTAAAAGAAGCAAAAAAAGATACATATAAGTTAGAAAGAACAAACAGAAGGATAGGTTTCCGTGAAGAATATGGTGAGCGTTGGACGTCGACTGCACTGATTATAAAACGATGAGTTTGTTTCTTCGGTTTCTTTCCGCTTAGTCACAGTAATTTGGTTCAGGTCCCAAACGGCACCTTTTACTAATCCCCACTGAGTCTTCTGGGGTCCTACTTTATCACCATGCCCCGGATGTCGATACGGTACCCTCGATTCACGCCAATGTCGTTGACATTCCCTTCGCTAAAGAAGTTTAGATACTTGGGATGGTAAAAACCGAACCGATAAGTAGCTTCTTGTTCAGTTTATTTTTCAAAATGCGATTCAGTACTTTTTGGATTCTTCTCGCCCCTGGTATCCAGTTTGAGAAGTTCAGCAAAATGCATTACGTTTTTATAAATGTTGTTATGTTCTTATCAATCGTGCAACGTGTCAATCACCTATGTTCTGGCATTTTGACGTTTATCGACCAATGCGTTTTAGTTAAGTTCGAGTTATCAGGGTAAATTTGAGCCAAGAGACAGTAAAAAAATTAGTTTGAGTTAAAGAGGAGTTTGAGTTCGAAGTAGCTGATAGTAAATTACCGGAAAATTGGGGTGAAATGCAAGGGAAATCGGACCTTATTCGAGTTACTGGCGGGTCGAGTTCACAGGTTTCAAGTTAGCGGAGTCCTACTGAATAAGCAAAGACATTTTTGACGCTTAAAAATTAGATATTTTTTCATTGTTTAACGTTCCAGTTGTTTGCCTTTAAAATTCTTGTAATGTTTTAATTTTTCTTGGGATGATTGCGGATTCTGAGGGAAAAATGAACAGATTTTTGGCGTTGAACACTTATTCGATGTTTATAATAACAACTTTGAAAACAAAGAATTGTTTTATTGCCTTCATTGTACTACTTAATAGGTATTCATAAATATTTCTCTGTGCTGTGCCGGGAGTCAGGGATTTGACCCACAGATGAGCAATTTTTAAATGTTTATTGAGTCCTTGAGAGGTATCCCTGCAATGGGAACGTTCAATAAACGCAGCGCACTCTGTCATTACAGACCACGACAACAGAAGTAGGATATGTATACATATATCAAAAAGTGTCTATTTAGCTTAATGTAACTGCTTCATCCCGCAGCCATAGCTTGTTTGGCAGCCTCGTAGACTTCTCCATCTACCGACTTTGAACATCATCTCCCACTGACTCTTGGATTTCCCCCTCTCCTAACCCTTGGATGGCCTCCTCGTCCGATTTATTAACAGGGTCCTCGTCCTAGCCTAAATCTTCACTGCTTTTTCCGTTTGTACCGGATGCTATTAGCTGCATGTTACGGGAAAGTTTGTATTGAAATTGATTCGTTTCTGGCAGCAACAGCAGAGGGTAGAGATGAAGACGCTTGACCAATTTCCCAGTTAACTCAGCTTTGATGGTTGCGATGCTGGTAAGACTATTGTTATTTTTGACAGCAAGCTCTTTTGAGGTGAGCTTTGCAAAAAGCTGTTGTTCACGCTTCTCCTTTGATTTTGCTGCCTTTTTTTCTGCGCAATTGCCAATCTTTCCTAATGCGAGATGGAAACTTCCTTTCCAGTTCTATTAGGGTTGTTGTCAGCTTATAGCTTCATGAAAATATTTCAGTTCGTCAATTGCAAAGGGTTTTGGAGTAAGTCTTCTCTGTAAAGAATTTTTTGTTCGCTGTCGATGAATGATAACAAATCTGCCACGAATTTCAAGGTGTCATCTTCAGTGGCCAAGCAGGACTCACACTTGACAAAGTCATCGTTGCTCTTGCAACCATCCACGCCTGCCGCTTAATTTTGTAATTTTTTGACCTTCTGAAATTCTATTCTGATCAATAGCACTGTTGTAAAACTTCAGCTTATCTGTTTGTGGTTTAAGAAGTATATAGTAACAATGGCTTTTTTAAGTGGTTGAAAAGAAGGGGGGGAGGAAATCTTACACTGACAATATGGGGAAATCAAAGAGAAACAAGATACTTAAAGGAAGAGATCGCATAAATACATAAATGCTCCGTTGTCGCAAAAAGAATCCTCCACATCCTCCCTCCAAACCCCCCCCCCCCACACTTGATTCCCCTGCAAGTAGAAATTTTTAGGCTAAGCTTTTTTTTTTTAGGGGGGAGGAGAAGGAGGAGGGGTTAGGAAAAAAAATCCAGTACCAAAGGGCTAGTGAGTTTCATATAGCTATTCTAGAGAAGTGTTTGCTGGGTTCAGGGAGGGGGAGAGGGTGGGTGGGGTGTAGGTGAGTTATAATACCAAACTCATAACATAATAAACATAACAGACATAACAAACTTAATAGTTGGGAAAGGAACAAATGAACATGAGAACTACCAATAGTGTATGCAATACAGCCATTTTAATGCTAGCAGCTGTATTAAAGCCAGCAGTTGCCTTAATGACAGCGGTTGTCTTAATGCCAGTGGTTGCGGAGCGTAAAGTAGCGCGGGAGATTTAGCCTCCTACTCTTTTCAATAATCGTTTCATTGGGATTACGTCAGGTCAAACCAGATGATGCAAGACTAAACCTGTATTTGGCGTCATGATCTTCTCGCCAATCGCATCATCAAGATCATTGATAAGGAACTCATTTTTTTGTAAAACAACTGTCTTCTTATGTTTGAGTCGAAGAACGTGTTTGTCTTGATGTACGGTAAAAATCCTACTTTTTTCCTCCTTTCCTTCGTCGCCCTCCGAAACGCTTTCGCTGCTTCTGAGACGCAAGACCACAATGATATATGTTATTGATTAAGTATGTGGTTAAGGTACACGTTATTGGTCAACGTACTTTACTTCGTGCGAATTGATCACTTTCATGTCCGTGATTCATAGTGATATTATCCCAAGAATATCAGAAACGAAATCTATGTTCTTCAAGACATTTCTTTTGTTCAGTCAAAGTTATAGAATTTATCTTAATGTTTATTTCCCTTCCGCCTCGATTGGCTTCGCTATTTTACGGGAGGGATATGCATTTTAATTGCAAAAAGTAAATAAATGTTGTCGATTTTTACTGTGTATTCGTGATGTATCATTGTATAGAAAGCAATATTACACTGCGGCCAACTGCTTACTCTCGTCACTCGATTCTGAAATGTCCGTAACTTAGAATCCATATATTAAGTGAAGAAACAATGCGAAAACATCCAAAGCTACAAGATGGAAGAATAAAAAAAGGACAACGAAACCATCCGAAACGAGATTAAACGCCAATGAAATGATTAATCTTTGCAACCGTGTGCATTTTGTGTGCTGTCATACCTTGCAAACACCCACGTTTTTCATGTTCAACAAACCCTTTGATTAATACTTGAAGGTAGAGCAGTAAAAGATTAACTTACCTACGGCCACGACGAGAATTAAAGTAAGACGCATAGAGATCTGCATCTTCGCTACTCCTTTACAAATGAATTGTCGAGAGTAACCAAGGTCCTATCATAATTATTAAAAACCGCTTGCTTTACCGATTTTTCCGCCTTTTTCTGGGTGACGTCATCTGAAGGGTTACACGAGCATGGCTGGGCACCAACTACAATACACAGTCACGTGATTTTGTACAATATATTTACAAGATGTTTAAAGACCTGATTATTAATCTACCCTGTCTGATGAGTTTAAAACCTTTTCCCGTCGCAATCTCGCGAGGTTTCCATACCGCTGTCAGAGCCACTGATATCCACCCTGATATTGGAAATATTTAAGTATAGAATTAACGTTTAACATAAATGCGTTCTCGCAATTCTGTTCCCGAATCATTTCATTTTTGGATAATTATCGATCAAAGTGCGACATGGGTATACTGTGAGAAAGGACCCAGACATGAAAGATGGGATGAGAAGATGACAGAAGAGAGTCAGACGACACAGATTACACGTAAGACTGTCAATACT